GTCAACCCGGGGGACAATGTATACGCACGTTAGTGCCCCGCCTGATATAAAATCCTACGTCTCCACCTCGACTGCCGCGAACGTTCGTATACCTTGGTGTATGTAGGAGTCGATAATTGGGTACAGTGGGCACACGACCCCCTTCGCAAATTCTCAGCCAGGTCTCATTAATGGCCATTTATTATAATAACATCCCGACGCTCCATAGCGGCCACGAACTCATTGCGGTTAGTACCAAGTGAGCCTGCATTAAGTAAATCAATTTTAATATATTTGTTAGTCATTAGGTACATATAAAAATAACAGACGTAATATTACAATCAGTGACGTGTACGTATTCAATATTATAACTTAATAAACAAGATGATTATCACAAATCAGTGATAATCATTTAGTGAATAACCACGAAAGCCTTAAAATCTATATAAGGACCTTATCTACCAAGTTTCTCAGTAAATTCTAAAATTCGGGCGCCAATTCTGTTCTATCGTTGTAGCTTATGCTACCATGGGTATGTGTTCGCGCCGATGCTAAGGTAGACGGCGCTTTGGATACGTTCACCTATCTTCATTTCTTTCAACATTTATATTGCTATCCCTTTTACCCTGCCGCTATTGAACTATACTGTTCTTAACTGGGATAGTCTACAACTAACCGTCCTGGGTGTTTGCCTTGGATTACCCATCGACACTCGTGTAGCTCTGTGGATTCACCGCCATATCTGAAGACTTAATGCACTCTGCGTAGTCCTATTTCGCCGTGTGTGAAATACCGCTTGTGTTTTACTGTGTTATTGTACTGTACTTAAACACTATCCGGTGATAAATCAAGTGATCATTATCGTAACTGGTAGTCTCCTCTGGCTGCCACCGCGCCACATCAACCGCCACGCGTTCCACTCCATTTGTCGGAGACCCTTAAACAGGACGTCTATTGTAAGTTGAGGAAGATACAATATAAGAGCTAAGGACAACACAAGAGCACGAAACACACATCTAAGGTCAGTGTAGTATAGTTGTTCAGCATTCCTTTTACCTGCTGTCCTTGTTCAGAGATTCCTGTCCATACAGTCCACTTCTCTTCTTAACAACGTCACAAACCACATTAACTCGCTCTATGCGGCGCGTATGGTCATATAGCTTGACTCCCGCGCTGGTACAGTATACATTTATGAATATTTACATTTGTAATTAAAATGATAGCACTAGAGTTATAAATTACCAGCCCAGGACCCCATGTACGGTGGGGTCGGGCTCGGCCTGCGGCGCGTGGTCGGGTTAAGTTCACGAGGTGCGCTCATGCTCTTCGGTGGCACAGCAGCTAGTACTATTTATTTAATTATTTATTTAAAATGCAAGTCACAACAATACACCTTCCATTAGGTAAGTACTTATTGCTATGAGCGCTTGATGAGGAGGCCGATTCTCGATTTGGGCCAATTTAAGAAACGCACATTTCTAAGTTGGTTTTGGTCTTAGTATTCTGGGTTATCGTTGTTTTGGTATTTATAGTACAGGAAAACTTCTCTTTGGCATCGCTTTCAAGCAAATGGAATCTAACAGAGAGGCGGTTGAGATACAACAACGCTATAATAAGTATCTCACTTCCACTACCCAGGGAAGTATGCCTTACATTTTTACAATTGTGAGTTCTTGTACTCGTAATCTATTACGTCTCCGTGTATTACCTCCATGCGATGGCGTGCGGACGCTTCGGGCTTTGCCCTCCGCGGACCTCGGCACTACGGCCTACGGCCTCGGCACTTACGACTTTGGTTTTACTAAAGTCTTATTTGTAGAGTAGTGGCCAGTTTCTTTTCTAACAAAAACTTTTCATTTAAATGTGGTAAAAGATTTTTCACGATTTCTGCCATTTCGAGTACTCTTACCTAAGTTGGTCGATGCATCCGTCAAGGCGGCAATCAATTCGAGCACTTACTATCATAGACTTTTTATGTTATTTAGCTTTTCGTTATTGTTTTTATTTTGAAATACATAATACGTTGTAAATTTGTTAGTTTCCTTATTGTTAGTTTCCTTAATTGCCTAGAATAACTGATTACTAAATAGGTCCTTACAAAACGTACGGTAAAAAGTTTTTTGCGATTTCGGACATTTAGAGTACTCTTATCTCAGTTGGTCCCATAGAAACTATTGATCCTTACCGGAGACCGGATCGAATAGCATAAAAAAAAAGTTTTGTAAAAATTGCCTTTTATCTCGCTGACTGTACCATTTTTTCAAAATCTGTGAATGCCAATCAAAATATCTTCAAAATTCATGGATAGTCTTCTAGAACCGTTTTCCTGTAACTACAACGATTAAGGTGGCTGGCCTTGCTGCCCCGTCTCAAATTTACACCCTGTATGATGAGCTAAGGAGTGTCAGCAGAAGGAGTACGAGTGGGTTTATAAATTAAAACAATTAAATATTCTACGAACATAGTTTTCCTAATTATGCTGCAATTTTTTTAGATGTCCTGTGCAAAATTCGATACCAATTACATAGATTTGTACGGTAATTTTCCATAAATCGCCGAACAAAAATAACACTACAAAATATCATCGACATCATTTTAAAATTACTTATAGAAAAATGTTTAATATATTTTTTTTTAGAAAAACCCAATTACTGCTGACAAATGTCGTTGGAATTTCAATCACCCCGAGGTATCAAATTACACGGGCAAGTCGCCTGGAGTGGATCGATTCGACGCGCAATTCTTCAAGGTCCATTACTGGCAGGCCCACCGTATGGACATCCTTTGCAGGAAGGCACTGGAACAGGCTTACCAGGCAATCTATGATGCTGGTTAGTAGATTGTATCACATCTTCAGTTTAACATAAGTTTTGTGACATTTATTTTCAGAAATTGCAAAACGACTTTCTGGAACATTTATTGAGGAATGTGACTTGTATTGCCTATTTTTCTATCATTTATTCTAAGAACAGTAAGAACGTTTAATATTTTGACCTCAATACAGAAGTGACGATGAAGCTAGGCATTATTTAGATGTGCATCACCTAAATAATGTCTATTCACTTTTACCTTAAAAAAAAGCACAATTTATAGCGTTCGGAGAACATGTTTGCAGGCAGGGAATTCCACTGCATAGCCGTTTGCCATATGAATGTGGAAGCGTAACGCTTCAAGCGAATCCTTGGAATATAAGGGTGGAACCCCAGCCTATGTCTAGTCCTTCGATGATGGAAAGAGGAGGGAGGAAATAAATCGTGCAATTCGTTTAGCAGTGTTGAGTATTTTCACGTGTTGTTGATTCCACAGGGTTGAGTTCTGAACATTTAAGTGGGCAAAAAGTGGGCGTCTTCATTGGAACCAGCTGTTCGGAGACGGATAAAGCCTTCATTGTCAATTCCCACGGAGGCGGTTTCGGCATAGCGGGGTACAGTAAATTAAAATTAATTCTAAAATTAAGTTTTTTGTAATACATAAATTATAAAGATGTCAGATATGTATTTTGAATCACCGTGATCTGCCTTGCGGTATACAAAGTATTCGTAATTTTTTGTAGACACTCTATCACTAAAACTAAAATCAATGCAATTATAAATTTAATAAATTAAGCAAGTGTTGGCTTTAATTAGCTTTTGGTATTGGACATTTATCAAAAATAGTATAGGGTAGATCTTAGCACCTGAGACTACTTCCTTCCTTTGTATCCTCCATCCTTCTCCAACATGCGCACTTTGCTGCTGGCGTCTCTTTCACCGGCCAATAAGCCAGCCTATGAGTTGGCAACAAAAAAGACGATAGTCTAAACAATGACACTGAACTGTGTGCATTAGAAATGGTTAACTAGCGCAATTGTATTTGAATAGTTTATTTTTTCGCAATAACGACTGTGCTCAGTAGTGAACCTGAGGAATTTCCTCTTGTGACGGCCGTATCCAGGCGGAATTACTGCCAGGTGTCCAACCGAAGAATTAGGGTGAGTGTGCATGTTCCCATCATTTTCCCTGTCCTTCGACCTACATACCTTGTTCCAGTCCTTATAGGAAGCTACTTGCAAGTGCAGTTAGTATTATTATATATTCTTTATGGTACAAAGAAAAGACACACGAAACACACGTTACAATGGACATATACAAAAGTGAGCTTATCTCTATAAGAGATCTCTTCCAGCCAACCCTAGCCGTGGTGCAAAAATGAAGTCTGCGGGACTAATTATTGTACAACAAAATTAAAATTAAAATTTGAATAAAATATAAATGATAATAATATACATACGACAGACATAAGCAGAATATATATTATAATAACAGATTATTTGTTGACTAATGTGCTACCTATAAACTATCTAACGCGTTCGGCAGGAAGTGCTCTTTTAACTTGTGGTTGAAAGATGCCACCGATGGACTGTCACGAATGTTAGCAGGTAGTTTATTCCACATACGAGCTGCACTATAAATAGTACAATAAATTGAAAACGCAAACAATACAGTCTAGTCATTATCGGTATATCTACATGTTCATTTCGCTTCACCAGCAAATCTGTCTTATTTTTAATTATAAAAAGAATCAAAATGTCAATTTTGTAAGAAATTACAAATCGCACTCAATTTTTGTAATACAAAATACGAATTTACAAAGTAAATTGTTGTAAAGAATTGTAACTCGTTTAGATAAAACACCGACCTCAAAAGTTTGTGGAATTACATCTATTTGCCAAATTTTATTGAAATCGGTCAATGGAACGTGCGTGAAGTCAAATAAACCGGATTCATTCCCTAATTTGCCACCTTTAGAAGTGGAATATTTTCTTTTTGAATTGGACTACTACTGAGGTACTTTTAAAAAAAATTCCCCTAAAAAACTTTCTAATAAAAAAATACCTTAAAACTTTATTTTTTATCTCGAAATGTAGGAAAATGACATAAGACATGTATCTAGATATATGTCTGTGGTGTGTAGCTTACTTTTGCACTATGCCGTAAGTAATGGTAAATTGATTAGTGATGCGTGATGTGATGGGTAGCGCTACTAAAACATATCTACGATGCTTGGGAAAGGTTCCAGAACGCTGTTGGTGTTTTCTGTGACCTCTCAAAGGCATTTGATAGGGTGAACCATATTGCTCTTGTTAGGAAGCTGGAATATTATGGAATAAATGGCAAGGCGTTGGAACTTATCTCGTCGTATCTTAACAGTAGAATTCAGAAAGTAGACATGAATGGAGTGATTTCTTTGGGTTCTCCGGTAAAATGGGTGTTCCGCAGAGCTCAATACTTGGACCTTTCTTATTTCTCATTTATATTAATGATCTACCATTCTTTGTTAGGGACCTTTGCAAAATATTATTGTATGCTGTCGACACATCCTTCATTTTTAAAATAGACAGACGTGACGTTAACTATGACAACATTAGCGATATCCTCTCAAAGGTAGTTTATTGGTTTAATGCTAACAATTTATTGCGCAATGCAAAGTGTGTTGTATTTGAATTACCTAATCCACGCCTTACTTTCTCAAACTCGTATCTTAAAAAGAGTGATTATTCAGGAGATGGCAAAACTTTCTATTTATTTTAAATTTTGTTATCAAGGGGGTTAATTTGGATGCATTACTTTAAGAACAGATAAAAGCCAGTGTGTGAATATGAAGGAAATGTGATGTGAAATCAGCCTGCAACATTTATAAATACAATTAATTTTTTGCATTTAGTACTATTATATTATATTCATTATTATTATTATAATTTTATTACTGACGATCATAGTTATCCCTTGACATTGTATTTCCAATTGTAATATTGTGACATTGATAACATGAAATAAACGATTCTATTCTATTCTATTCGATATTTAAGCTAAGATTCTTGCTTTAAGATACGAGTTTGAGAAAGTAAGGCGACGTAATGTAAAATCGACTAGTCCAATCATAGAAATAAACGGAGAAAAGTTACCTTGTTGGTAAAGCTTTCTTTTTGGGAGTGACTTCATATAGTAAAGTTCAATGGTTTCCACATATGTCTTCCTTGGCCAGCAGATTAAGCTCTGCAGCATACGCAGTCCATAGAATACATGAGTTTACCGATGTTGCTGCTGGACTAGTTTACTTTAGTTACTTCCATAGTATAATGTCCTATGGGATTCTCGTGTGGGGTAAAGCGGCATATATACAAACCAAATTGTTATTGCAAAATTCGATTCGTCTCTGTACCGTTTAGGTTCTCGGGTTTCTCTCAGAGAAAAGTGGAGACGGGTATCATGATTGTGACCTTACAGTACATTTACTCAAATATTTTGTATGCATGTAAAAAAATATACAATTTCATTAAGAAATAAGCAAATGTCCATTATATTTTAATATTAGAACTAAGTCCAAACTCATGGTACCTACAACGATTTCGTTTAACTAAGGTAAATAATTCTTTTTGGGGAGTTTTTGCAATAAGATTCCGTAGTATTATATAAAGATTATCATTTCCTAAGTTTAAAACTTGCATAAAAATATTTTAAATGAAAAGTCATATTTCAAAATTGAAGAGTATGTGTTAGATAAAAATGTATGGAAAGACAACATGAGTCTAGATTTCACACAATTATGATTCAATATATTCCATAATATTTAAGTTTATTTGAAAATAGCATTCCCTCTAGGGTTTCTTGTTTGTTCGAGATCAGCGCTCGAGCAGTAGCTTAAAAATAACATTTTCAAGTGTATAAAAACCTATGGAATAAATGATTATTTCACTTTGACTTTGGTGCCGGCCATGACAGTTTTACAAACTTACTGTATAACATTAGAATCTGGCTGGCACCGACTTCAAAACTAACTAATTAGATATTGTAAATATTCTCTCCCGTAAAATTTGGTTTTGTGTAGATACGTGCCTTTTAGCAATGCTACATACGCGGCCATGCACTATCCCCGACGAATTGTCAGTCGCAGAGTACTTTTATGTCCAACTTTGCCTGATAGATAACAACAATTACAAGTAGAATCATTAAGAACATTCCCTTGTCAAGGGGAAAAAACGGCCAATTTTCAAAACCGATTGTAACATTAATTTTCAACAAAAAAACTGGATGATGTAAGGACACTAACCCTTACAGCTGTGCGAATTTCAGATGCAATCGAGGCATGTTTCCAAATCGTATTTCCTACTGGCTGAACGCCAAAGGTCCTTCGGTGTCGGTGGATGCTTCCGACTGCAGTGGGCTGGCCGCCCTGGAAATGGCCTTCCAAGCTATACACCGAGGAGACTGTGTCGCTGCTCTGGTTGGAGCCACAAACATTTGTTTACATCCGCAATCATCTGTGCATTATGCAAGGTTTGTGCTATCGTCACCAACTTTTACCACTGTTTCAAGAACACTTAATTTATTAACGCGCATTCACACCAAGTCGAAAGGCGACCATCGCTTGCCCGCTGAGCTACCCGGTGTAAATAGTGAGTCATCCGACGACGGTGTTTGCAGTCGAAGTCGATCGAAGTGACTGGACGCATCGCCTTCAGCAAGGTGTAAACACTCGGTGTAAATGGCGAGTCCACTGCATCGCCTTCGGCAGGCAAAGTACCTGTTTCGCCAAAGGTCGGAATACGACTCGGTGTAAATGCGCCATTAGACTGTATAATGACCCCTGCTAGTTAGTGTAGCTGGTGTGGCATGCATTTGTGCGCAAATGTGGTGTAACCCACATTCAATTTGAATATTGCAATATTACTTTAAATGATAATAAAGGACATAATTATTTTATATTTGGATGTTATTTCACGTGTGAAAGAAATGTAATAGTTTAATATTGTGTATGCATGAAAATAGCATTCAATGTGTTACACAACTTCTGCGCTGATAGCCTCAATTCACTGTTAGCGTTTGCATTTGCAATAACATATATTCCATTATTTGTATGATATAGATTTCCTCACAAGTATATATTAATTTGAAATGAATGAACTGGTGTTGTTTCAGAATCATAAAGATGAGTAAAGACGGCAAAACAAAGTCGTTCGACCAAAATGCGGACGGCTGTGCAAAATCTGATGCGGTGAACATGCTGCTCCTACAGAAAGCTAAGGACGCTAAAAGGTATTTATTCATAAATCCAGCATTATCGAGATCATAATCACCATCATCAACCCGTTTGTGCGTCCCGCTGCTGGGCACGGATCTTCTCTCAGGCGAGGGTTAATGCCATAGTCCGCCACTCTGGCCCAATGCGGGTTGGTGCATCACACGTTTTCCGAGTGCTGTGAACCTTCTTCGACAGGCAGGTTTCATTACGATCTTTTATTTCACCGAAAAGCTTATGGGAAACGCAAATTAAATTTCGCACGTGAATTCCGAGAAACTCAGAGGTGCGAGCCCATATTTGAACCTACGGCCTCCGTTTGAGAGGCGACCGGTCAAACCATTAGGCTAGCACGGCTACCGTCGAGGGGAAATTTATGAATTTTATTGGAATTATACAACTTATAATTATTAATACAAAGATCGAACACTACGAAAAACTTCCTTCTACCGGCTTGATTCGAACCATCGCCTTCCAACAAATCAATAAAAAACTGAAAAAATTACAATTATTAAAGCGACAGCTCTAGTCAGCTGGTGGTAGATGTAAAGGTACCTTATGTAGATACAAATGATTCAATGGCAAAAAATCGTTACATAACCAAGAACGAATATCTGCAACATGCACATAGAAAAATTCAAGGTCCACTAGTTCGTTCCGTGGTTCGTTCCATAGTTGGCATAGTGCGAGGTTTTCATAGTACACATAGAAATGGGACTCCAGTGACTGTTATAAATTATAGATCTTTTCACTATAAATCCAAACAAAACAAAATCACGTGTCTTCTAGTCAAAGATGTTTTACGTAATGGCTCCGAAAGAATGGCTGATGTTCCGTTGATACGATTATGATAATATCGATTTATTTCTTATTTCGATAAAACTGTTTTCTATCAAAAACAAATAAATTAATGTCACGATTCGCTAACAGACGGCCATTCTGTTCAAGGAATGTCCGCACTCCGGAATAAGCTGGGTCATCCGTCGAGTGGAGAGTACTCATGAGTGTGTCCTCATGTTTCCTCTAGAATTGCTCGTAACACAGGTGTAGTTATACTCCCTGGCTGCGCCACATACTTTGAAGGTTTAGGATATTAAATAAACCAACAGTTTATACTCCCCAGCCGGACCACAACCTACATCTAATAACTTCTAAACTAATGTCATTTATTATAATTACACTTGCTTTATGAAAAGTAGCCTTTAGGTACTTTTTTTTGGGAGTATTGCTTTCTTGAAAGTTCACGTTTTCACGGTTTCACGTTTTTCTAAATCCAAGGTGGCGCGGCGGGAGAGTACTGCTTTGCGGCCGGACCACCCAAGTAGTTAAATATTTCGTAATCTATCGAGGTACTATTAATTTTGTTGTATGTATAGGAAAGTAGTCTGTTGGTACCAATTATTTTGTACTACTGCATCCGAGTACTTATAGGTGGTCCGGCCACAGAGGATTACACCATTTTGCCGCCTTTTCTTACTTATTTAGTTAGGTTACCTTATGTCTGGTTAAATTATTAGAAATGGGTAAAAAGAAGAACTGTCATACAGTAACAAGAAACATTATAGTGAATTTACATTTAAAACGAAATGGACGTACCGAAAAATCGTCGATCATTTAGAGTGCTCCATAAAGACGCTATTTGACACCATTGCACATTTCAAAAAACATGGAACGTCGGATAAGGTGCCAAGAAAACGTCGGCCAAGGCAGATCACTGTTCAAGAAGACAGGCTTATGATTTGTTTAGACGGACTGATTTTAAAAGGTTAAAGGAACTAATGTTATTAGAAAAGAGGTATTTTCACAAGACGACTTCGGAAACGTGTCCGTAGTCCGTAGGTGGCCGGTTGAAGGAAAATTGTTTGGAAAGATTGCCAGATAAGTATCATTTCTTAGCAGGCAACATAGAGAAAACCGTCTAACTTTCACTAGAAAATAGGGCAGTTGGACTGTTCATAAATAGAAACAGGTTTTATTTTCAGGTGAAACTAAAAAAAATTTGGTAAATTCCGACGGAAAACTATATGTACGAAGACCAATCAACGAGGTTTTGAATAACAAGTATACTACAAAGACAGTTAAGCACGGTGGTGGAAATATTAAATTGTGGGAATGTTTTTCGGGAAACGGGACTGGTCCAGTGAGAAAAGATTTAAGGTCTGATGGATTAGTATCAGTATAAAAGTATCTTAGAGGAGACAATGATCCCATATTCCGATGAATATTTGCCAGTGACTTGGTTATTTCAACACGATAATGACCCAAAACTTACCAACACACTGCGTTAACGCGTTTCTCAGAGAATAATCAGTGACAGTGTTAGAGTGGCCTGCCAATAGCCCGGACTTAAATCCGATAGAAAATTTGTGGTACACTATAAAGATTGTTATCGCATAAACATTTCACATAGATTGTCGCATAAATATTAGGGGTTAAAGTATGAAATTGCCGTTTTATTGCAATAGGTTCTTTGAATTTTCATAGAATCTTCATGGTTTGAGGTTTTCGAATGAAACTTTTTTCAAATGGTTTCTGAGATTTTTTTTTTTTAAATTTGAAACATTTGAATATCGACTTTCAATTGTTTTTGTTATTCAATTTAGACAAGAAAGATGGATACTGCGAAAATTCGAGTGATTTTTGAATACGAGTTCCGACGCGGAACTAACGCGGCAGAAACAGTCTGCAATATCAATGCTGCGTTTGGAGAGGGGTCTACTAATGAACGCACCGTGCGATTTTGGTTTAAACGCTTTCGTGATGGAAATTTCGACCTAAAGAACGAGCCACGAGGAAGACCGCCCACACAGGTGAATAACGATGAATTAAGAGAGATAGTGGAAGCCGATCCTAGTCAAACTACCCAGGAATTAGCGCCATGGTTTAACGTTACCTTACCCACAATATTGACTCACTTGCGTCAAATCAATAAAATAAAAAAATACGAAAAATGGGTGCCTCATGATTTGACTGATCTGCAGAAAGAAACGCGTGTTGAAACTTGTGTTGCCTTGTTGAACCGGTACAGAAATGAAGGAATATTGGATCGAATTGTAACATGTGATGAAAAGTGGATTATTTATGATAACCGGAAAAGAAAAATGCAATGGCTGACCCCAGGTCAAATGCCACAACAGTGTCCTAAAGCAAAACTTACCAATAAAAAGGTAATGGTAACTGTTTGGTGGTCTCAGCATGGTGTTATTCACTATAGTTTTCTCCGATCTGGTCAAGCAATAACGGCAGATGTCTATTGTGCCGAACTCCGAACCATGTTGACAAAACTAGCAGTAAAACAGCCCCGACTCATGAATCGATCTTCAACATTATTGCTCCACGACAACGCGAGACCTCACACAGCACGAGAAACCATTTTGACCCTTCAGGAACTGCAGTTAGAAACCATTCGTCATCCTCCGTATTCACCAGACCTTGCTCCAACGGACTACCATTTTTTTCGTGATTTGGACAATTATCTACGTGACAAGAAGTTTTCTTCCCAGGAGGCAGTACAAAATGCTTTCACACAGTTTGTGCAGTCTAGATCGTCGGAGTTCTATCGCAAAGGCATTAATAACCTTCCCATTAGATGGCAGCAATGTATAGATAATAATGGCAACTATTTTGATTAAATAAATTTGTTAAAAATTTAAAAAATGAACAATTTAGATTTTCAGTACAAATCGGCAATTTCATACTTTAACCCCTATTATATCACCAATATCAACGAACTTATTGGGAGTGCCCTAACCAACTAAATAAAAGAGGTTGGTACCGAAAGTTGAATACTTTTATGACTCTTAATACAATGACAAGGTGCGGTAATTTATGGAAAGTTTATGAGCCGGGGGCTGCAGTCGAGTGTAGCAGTCCGGCGATATGGATGATTTATTGGGCACTGGCGCTCCCTCACGACTGGACTGCGGAGCGTGTGCCGCGCTCGCGTCATATCATTATTATTTAATGTACATCAAATTGTAGAATAATATCGTTTTTCATTTTAATTTATTTCAAGTCAGATGCAAATATATAATAATAAATAATAAATAACTGCCTCCGTGGCCGAACGGTTACCATACCGGACTGCCACGCAGAGGTCCCCGGGTTCGATTCCCGGGCCGGGAGAAATATTTGTATGGCCTACATTTATTTCTCTTGCGTTTGGGTGTAATTTGTGGTTGTCTATGTGTGTGTCCATGGCACCCGCGACACAGGGTTTCCCTCGTGCGGGGCTATGTTGAGTGTGTGCGTTATTATTATTATTATAAATCTTAAAAACATTGTCATTTAAATTATTTAGTGCAGAATGTAGTTTTTTTACATACATCTATATGGTAAACTAGAGGATTTGGGCATAAGAGGTGTCTTATTTTGCTTACTAGCTATTTGACTGATAAATCCCAATTTGTTAAAATTGACGATGTTGTAAGTGATGAACTTCCAATAACTTACGGGGTGCCTCAAGGTAGCATAATAGGTCCAACACTTTTTCTGTGTTCACGCTGTGCTCTTTTTTGTGTGCTCACGCGATGCGCTCTTCCTACCGCAAAATGGCGGCTATTTGGTTTCGCAAGTTAGAAAAGTATTCAGTTTGAATACAGTATTTATAAATTGTATTGCTAAATAAATACCCTTCGTATTACCAACAAAAACATTTCAAATAAAATGCGGTAATACACCGCAAATCCTGCACTTAAAAAGCACTAATGAAATTTTTAGTGTACTTGGATAAATATGATAATATTCCGTTTCAGTGGTTCTAACGTTTACCATGAAATTACTCCTTAAAGTATAGTTTATGAACCTTTATATTCAGAGTAAACTTAAAAAACGCTACTTACGGTATGTTTTCAATAAATAAACACTGAAATCACCAGCCCAAACAATAACACACACGATTGTCGTGACGTATCTTAGAACGTGTTTATTTTTTTTAATTGACAGACCCAGGCATTAAAAACTTTATGGTTTGCTAGAGTAGTTACCGAAATAGCAATTAATATTAGTTCTTTTACCTGTTATAACTTCGATATCCGAAAAATCGGTATAAAATCATTACCGGCACCTCTAGGTGTGGTATGCGTCTACGGCTGCATGTATCGCGTGAGCGGCTATTAGATAGATACGAAAACGATACTGCATTAACATTTTATTCGCGGTCATAGTTTGTAATGGCTGACAGCTAACTCTTTGACACCAAATGCTGACAAAACTAAGTGCATCATCTTCTCAATTAGAAACAGACTTGATTCACTCTGGAAGACGCTGGATCGAAACCATCCTGGATCCAAAGAAATAATTTTTGATGATCCAGGATCGAAATTTTTTTCATAATGTTCGATCTTTATATTAATAATTATAACAATCTAGAGGTGAATTTCACAAAAATAATTGAATATCATGGTGGTCAAACATTGTGACATTCAATAAAAAACTTAAAATTTGCAATTATATATGTTGTTTATATATTTAAAATAATAAGTTATCTAAACAACGCTGTCAATTTACAGCGCGGTAAGAACGTAAATTATGTATAATTAGTGTTTATTACCTATACGTGTATTTTTAGGGTTTATGCAGAGCTGGTCCATGTCAAAAGCGGGTTCACAGATTTGCTGGAAACAGAGGTAGGCCCTAAGTTTGGGTTCTACAGAGACTCTCAAGTTGCTGCCCGTTTCATTAACGAATTTTACAAGGAAGCCGGAGTGCCTCCACACGCAGTCGAATATGTAGAAGCTTTCGGTGCAGGTTCGTTGTAAGATAAATATATTTCAATATAACTTAATCTAATACAATACAAGGAAAACAAACGCAAATAAAGCTATGATAGTATTAAAATAAACAATACGAAAGGAACCTAAATTATACAATCTTCATAGTAAAGCTACACATTTTAATATTAGAACCTAATGTGTAATTGCGATGCCTAAACTAAGTAAATGTGTACCTGTATTTTAGGCCTCTTTTTTTAGAAAACACATTTTTAAGCTGTAATATAAATAAATATGCTCTTTACATTAAAGCTTAAAAACAGATTTTGTATATTTAGTAGTTGTAAATTAATTGTTAGATAAAAATAATTATGAAACAATTTCCAGCAAGCGCTCTGTTTCGTTGTAAGTTTTACACTTACCCAGGATTTGACGGTCTTTTTACATTCTATTTTATTCATGGCGAAATAATGCAAAGTGCAGTATGAGGGGGTGGTAGTGGTTTGCTCGGCTAGTGGGCCCCCTTACTACGGCCAGGAATCAAACGGCGGAATCCGGTGAAGATATCTAAAAAAAGAAAAGAAATTCAATCGTTGAATAGATCAATAAATACTTTTTTTTAAAAAAAGGAGCGAGCTGAAAGCTCATAACTCCTAAAATAAACTAAACTTTAAACTAAGTAGTGGGCCTGAGGGCGCCCAAGTTGTCACGGACCTCGGCTCAAGGCGCTACTGGAGACTTCCGCCACAAGAGCGTGCTATAGGTGAGAAGCAATTCTATAGAAAATACTAGTGACAGGTACTTTAGGGAAAATCTTAACATCGCGATTCAGAAATTGTGTTTTCTGTGCCAATGCTATCTAGCGGTATACTTCGACACTACTGTTCTAACTTGTGTTTGCTATTGTGTTACAAAAGATATAAAGTAAAGGAATGTATCAAGGAAGCAAAATAATGAATGGAAGTCTGCTGTGCGGATTTGCATACGAGACGAAAAGGTATCGAGTCGTTTGTGGTTAGTTAAAGTCACGGAATCAAATGGAGTAATTGACGGCTTTTTTAAAATTGTTTGTTGGATAAACAGGTGCCGAACAGAGGGGACATTGCACTCGTTTAGGTGTTTGTTGATTAGGTATTCGAAAGGACGAATTTGATGGCTTTAAGAACAGCTTTCTGCGCTCTTTCCAGGTTTATCAGGGTGGTCATAAAGCTTATCGTGGTTATTGAATAAATACTTTTAAATCGATATCGATAAATACTTATATATATATATACATATATACAGTTCGTGTAAAATAATTTAGCATTAAATCGCAAAACATTGTTAATGATATAAGCATAATTCTTATCACCTTACTTCATTACAGCCGTCTCAGAGGCTGATAAAGAAGAGCTGGAGGCGATTGAGACCGTGTTTTGCAAAGAGCGCCGTGAACCCCTCTTAGTCGGCAGTGTTATGTCCAACATCGGTTACACAGAGGCGGCTTCTGGCATTTCTGCGGTTACTAAGGTAGGTAAAAATTTACAATGACCGACCGATAAATCTGGACCTGCATCGCCATGGTGTACCTAGTATAGATTTCTAATTTAAGTGAGTTATCACTCATATTGAAGAAATATTGGTCAGCGGCACTGTGTTCAGGATTATGGGTGTCAAATAAGGAAGTCTCGAATGAGATTCAAAATTTTCGATAGGTACGACAAATTTCGGAAACGGACTAGCAACAATAACAGATAGTAATAACAAGTAGCAGTAGAGTACACACAGCACCTATTTCTGCTGCCAAGTAGTAGTATAAAGTTTTGAAGGGTAAGGTGCTGGTGAAATTATGGGCACATGGGATTTGTCAACTCGTCTTAGGGTGACGGGTGCAGTGGCAGTACCCATCAGATTTTTGCAATTTGAAGCTCTGAGTGACACTGCAACTGCCGTGAACTCGCGTGTCGCTTACCACCAGATGCACGACTTGTTCGTCCCGTCACTAGGTATCACAAAAAAGCTTTACTAAATTGGTTTTAGTTAGATGTTTTTGGCAAGTGACATGAGAATTAATTTCGTTACTCTGGTACTCGTAATATTGAGAATTCACTAGTTTGAGTTCAGGTAATTATTAATAAGTGGTTGTCATGTTTATGTCGAGGACTGAAGGAACCTTTTCGAACATCCTAACTTGGGCCAGTACGGCGAGCATTGTGACGTTCATATGGGCTACATGTAAACGTTTGAACTTTCATCTGCTTTATCAGGTGATACTAGGCTATCAAAGAGGCAAGTTAGCCGCCAACATGCACTGCACAACTCCTCGTCAAGACATCCAGGCTATCCGCGACGGGCGTATGAAAGTCGTCAC